TTTATGTATATCGCTCACACTCATATTCCTTGCAATTTGGTATCGGAGCTGGTTGATGATCACCGCTTACCTGACACCGGTGACATTGTAACTTGGTGCGTTGAGGATGCTGCATGTGCAGTGAGAATACTTTGCCGCTGGTTGATTAGCGGGGCCTAGGTAGAGAGGCCAGCCGCTGGAAGGCTGTGGCGACAGCGTGGGAGCTGTGGCGACAGCGGATGTATACATGATGATGAGAGTATGTTGACATGGCATTTTGGCTGAGGTGGCACTACATTGCGTTGTGGGTGGTACCGAGGCTATTGATCGGTCATCGAAATGCACATCAGCCCAATTGGTGAGAAATCTGTGGTTGGGGGCAGCTATCTCCAGGTACGTTGTTCCGATTCCTTATCTACCCTCTCAATCTCTTCTTGCCGTGAGGAAGTGAGTCCAACTTGAGTGTCCTCTCTTTGGTGAGGAGTCGTGTGCGCTGTATCTTGAGAGATGACATTCTTCCCGGTGGCGCATCTGGCAGGAGACGGCGGTGCCTCTGAAGGGCCCTGGTCGAAGCACGTGGGTCACGGTCGCCATGCCAACCCAATGGGATTAGTACACCCATGCGATGGCTGCTTTGTCCATTGAGGCTCTTTGTTGCGCTGATAGAAGGGGTGTGCGGACTGACCAGTCCTATTGAGACGCTCCCAGACCGTCTATAAACATTTCTGGTTGGGGTCTGAACCGTCCACTGGCTGTGATTGTCGTCCTGTTTGCGACGTTAAATAATTCCTGAGGAGATGGGGGCTCTCCTTAAATCCCTCGTGATCAGCCAAATCATTCAAACGTAAGGCTCGTTGCACGCGAGGGTAAACAAAGGGGCAGGCTTGTCATAAGCATACTTCTTGGGCACAGGGGTGGGCCGTGGTTGCACACCTTAGACACCGCAACTTGATGATGCTCACAGGTACGTTGGATACAGGGGAGGGGGATTCCAATTGTGAACTCAACTGTACATCACTGACATATCCATTGTGCATACATCTGCTCACATTAGTCTGAGTTTTATTTTGATTAGTTGGTTGACCGACTGCTAACACCTGACAGACAGACTAGAGTTAGGACTGTAATCTACCATAGTCAGTTCTTCTCGAATCTTCTGTGCAGACTAATCAGAATAAGACTTAGGCAATGTGTACAGTTTGTGTAGATGCTGTTGATGCCGCTTGACTAGTAGACTAGGTAACTCGCCGGGCATTTATTCAATTAATTATTTTTAGATCTGGTCAGACGCATGCTACGGTAGGTTCCAACGAGGACATTAGTGCAGACAGTGTCTGCCTAACCTATGAGTGGATCAGAGGGTGAGGGAGGTGCAGATGGCGATAGGAGATTAACAAGGATATCATCCCTTAGAATACCTCGAGTGTTTCAGACCCTACGACCGGGAGAAGAGAGAAGATTAAGGGTTGAAGCTAGGGCCCGTAATCTTGAGGCTGCAAGAGAAGCAGCAGCTGCTAGAGCGGTAGCAATGAGTAATGCTACTTTCGCAGCAACTGCTGCGAACTCAACTGGTCAAGGGCTAGGCATGCCGACCAGTTCACAGTCAATCTCCAGTACGTCAGGGGTTGGCACTAGTCAAATGGCGGGCTCGCAGTTCAGCTCGCCGCCTCCACGCACCCGAGAGCAGATGGAGCTCCAACAAGTAGAGAGGATCCGCTTAAGGTTAGAGGAGGAACTTAGACAAGCTACTAAGAGAGAGAAAGAGATCGAAGATAGAAGTGCTAGACTACAGGGCAGGGAGGCAGACCAGGCTGCGTTAGAAGGATTAGATGACTCGGCCCTCAGCAACAATGAAAAGATTCTGAAGGCGAGCATCCTGTCCATGCATGCATACGTGGACAGTAAACTGGATGCAATCTAGGACACCTTGGACCAGATCCTGAATGCTATGCACAAGCCAGGGATCCGGCCAGCAGCTTTACCATCACTGCCACTCTCAGCGATGACAAGCCTCTATGCCGCTCAGTCTACACCACCACCAAGTGTATCATCAACAGTAACCCTATCTCAGACTGTTGCTTCTTCATCTTCTGGTCTAGCGACTGTTGCTACACCACAGTCGCCACCTGTCTCTCAACAGGGACAACAATATCCTTGGTACCCCAAGACCCCACTGAACCCACCTGCAACCTTCTCAGGAGATAAGCAGGATGAGGCTCTCGACACATGGTTAAGAACGGTGCCAGTGTGGGTAAGGGCAAAGAGGACATTGGTAGAAGAGGAGGTGATTATTGTTGCATCTTACTTAGAGGGTTCAGCAGCCCGTTGGCTAAACGGATTGGTAGCTTCAAAGGGTTTCGGCAGGAACATGCATGATTGGGCGCAGACCCACACATTAGAAAGCTATATGGACTTAGTGGAGGCTCGTTGGCATAACCCTCAACAGACACAGATTGCCACTGATGGGCTCTTGAAACTTGATACTAGAAAGTACAAGTCAGTGTGGGAACTCACCATAGCCGTAGAGCGCCTGATCGTCGTCCCGGGAGTGGAGTACAATCCACAGGTCTTGCTGACCATGTTCTTGAGATGTCTTCCGACAAACATTAGGAATTTATTAGCCAGCGAGGCTCGACGCGAGTATCACACATTTGAGTCAGCCAGCAAGAAGGCCCTAGACTTAGAGGCTACGCTGGGTAGAGCTCAAACCCCTTCTACGGATGGGAGAAAGAAGAAGACTCCACAAGAGTGGAAGAAGAAGGGTGGTTGATTGATGATGGTTGATTCCGATGGGAGTCAAACCGAGATCGATGATGATTCCGATCTTCTGGAGGGTTCAGAGTTTGACGGCGAGTAGAATGCTGAGGGTAGCAACCTTGCCGCTGTAGTCAAGACTAAGGCAGCTGGCCGCGGCAAGAGCGGTCAACAAAGGAGTCAGGGGGAGGCCGCTAACCCAAACAAAATAGCTGCTTGGGTTAGAGCAGGTCTGGATCAAGAAGTGTGGCGGGACCGTTGGTCTCGTGGTGCTTGTATTAACTGCGGTGAGTATGGTGACATACAGTTCAAATGCAAGAACCTGAAGGTCTCGCAGAAGATCCCTCCTAAGGGTGGGTTCTCTTCTTCTCACTCTAGGGCCTCTACGGGCTCCAACTCAGGAAACACTCAGGGCCAGTAGAAGTTATAGCTGCTTCTAATCTCATTGAAGCGGGTGATGCACCCTTCCCGTTTCAAGAGATGGCCAAAGCTATTGACTCCTTAGTCACCCCGCAAACGCATCCCGACCCAACTATACTCTGTATGTTGGATGTGTCTGAGGCCTTAGAGGACCTTCAAGGTGAGTGGTCGGCAAGGGACCCTCGTGAGTCCTGGGTGGCACTGAGTAGAGGTCCTAGAGGGGAGCACTTCGTTGTGGAAGTTGATGTAGGCGGTCGCAAGTGCGGCGCCTTCGTAGACATTGGCTCCACACAAAACTTCATAAGTCGCGACTGCGTTGACAGACTATGCCTAAAGGACCGAGTGCAGCGCCTTAGTAGACCGGTAGCATCTACTTTGGCCAACAAAGAGCGCATGATGGTGGAGGACTACGTTAAAGATGTAGTCTGCACCTTCTCCTACCCAGGAGGAGAGATAAACCATAAGATATCTTTCCTGGTGAGTGACGAGTTGCCCTTTGACATGTTGTTGGGCATGTACTACCTCGAGGTTGCCAAACCCCAGTTTGACTGGGACAAGAAGGTGTTGAAGCATGAGTTGCCTAGTGGGAGAACCGTGAGACTGGCCAAGTACAAAGCCAGTAGGTAAGTAGACTCCTATGGGTGTTTATGCGCATCTACTTTCTATAATTATTATAAACAGAACCAAGAGGAAGGAATGTACTTAGTCTATGTCTCTGCCAAAGGGGAGGCCGTTAAAACACCCCCAGAGATAGAGACCATCGTCGCTAAGTACCCTGATCTGTTCGAGCAGCCTACAGGAGTCGTAGACAGGGAGGTTGTTCATGCCATAGAGATCATCCCAGGTAGTAAGACACCTAAGGGTAGAATCTATAGGATGGCTTCGGCCGAGTTGGACGAGCTTCGGTGGCAACTGAAAGAGCTCACAGAGAAGGGCTGGATTCGGCCTAGCACTTCCCCCTTTGGCTCACCAGTATTGTTTGTTCCAAAGAAAGGGGGAACACTAAGGATGTGCATTGACTATAGAGGCCTCAATGCCATCACCGTTAAGAACGCAGAGGCTCTACCACGCATCGACAACCTATTGGATAGGGTGCAGGGATATAAGTACTACACCAAGATAGACTTAAAATCCGGCTACCATCAGATTGCCATTAGACCAGAGGACCAGCACAAAACCGCATTTCAGACCAGGTACAGTCTATACGAGTTTGTGGTGATGCCCTTTGGCCTTTGCAATGCGTCGGGTACATTCCAGCACGCCATGAATAGGATCTTCCATGATTACTTGGACAAGTTTGTTGTCGTGTACCTCGACGACATACTTATCTTCAGTAGATCTGTCGAGGAGCATGCTCAGCATGTAGACACAGTACTTTCACTCCTGCGACAACATAAGTATAAGATAAACGTAGAGAAATGCGAGTTCGGTCTCACTCGAATCTTGTACTTGGGTCATGAAGTATCCGCGGATGGGATTAGGCCCGAAGATGCAAAGGTGGCCAACATACGTGACTGGCCACGATCCCAGTCTGTGACTGAGGTCAGATCATTCTTGGGAATGTGTGGTTATTACCGCAACTTCGTGAAAAATTATAGCACGATCACATCTCCCTTGACTGATCTAACTCGACTCGACACACCATGGGACTGGACCGACGAGTGTGAGGCAGCTTTCAAGCGTTTGAAGCATGCTCTCACGCATCATGAGGTTCTCATGGTACTCGACCCGCAAAGGCCATTCGTTGTAACCACTGACGCAAGTCAATATGGGATTGGCGCAGTGCTGGCTCAGCAGGAAGGGAAGAAGTTGAGACCGATCGAGGACATGAGCAAAAAGATGCCTTCAAAGAAGTTGGCAAAGTCCACCTACGAGAGGGAACTCTACGCTCTTTACAAGGCACTTGTCCACTGGAGGCCGTACCTGTTAGGAAGGTTCTTCTACCTGAGAACTGCCCATCAAACACTCAAGTGGATTAAGACTCAACCAGTTCTCTCAGATGCACTCAAACGCTGGATTGAAGTCATAGATCAATATGATTTCAAACTAGACTATTTGAAGGGAGAGTACAACAAGGTTGCAGACACGTTGTCTAGGAGGGTAGATTACCTAGGTGCGCTGATTTATGAGTTTGGTCTATTTGAAGATGTAACTCGATCTTTGGAGGAAGCCTACAAGGAAGATCCCATCACGATGGACATCATCAACAAATTATAGGCTAAAGACAAGGTCACCACTGGTGAGTTTGTGATGGTGGATGGGTTGCTCTTTCTTGAGAAGGCAGGGTTCAGGAGGTTAGTTGTTCCATCTAGGGAAACTTTGCGTAGTTTGTTTTTAGGTGAGTGCCACGACGCAACAGGAAATTTCGGTTATAAAAAGACTAGTGTTAATCTAGTACATCGATTCTGGTGGCCTAACATGCTTGACGATGTGAAGAAGTAGGTGGAGACCTGTCAGGTCTGTCAGCGAGACAAGCCGCGAACTCAAGCTCCGCTTGGGTTACTCAAGCCTTTACCCATTCCTGCTGGCCCAGGGCAGAGTATCTCCATGGATTTCATGGATACTCTTGTGACCAGCAAGAATGGCAAGAGGCACATTTTCGTCATAGTGGATAGGTTCACTAAGTACGCTAGACTAATCGCCATGCCAGAGACTGCCAGGACTGAGCACGTCATCAAGTTGTTCATGGACAACTGGGTGCGTGATTTTGGATTGCCTAAGACTATCGTTAGTGATAGAGATGTCCGTTTCACTAGTGAGATGTGGAAACAGGCCGCTGAACAGATGGGCAGCCAGCTTCAGACGACTTATGGGAATCATCCCGAAGCAAATGGGCAGGTTGAACAAATGAACCGAGTGTTGCAGCATCTGCTGAGGCATTACATCAAGCCCAACCAGGATGAATGGGATGAGAAGTTGCCTCTCATCGCCAGTCTGTACAACAATGTTGTACACAACACCATCTATGTCAGTCCTAATCAGCTACATCTCGGATGGAAGCCTAGATCTGCTGTAGACTTCCTCCTGCCTTAAAACCGAACTACTGCAATGAATTTGGTGTCCAGTATGAGAAACTATTGCAGCAGACTGTCGAACATATCAAGAAATCTCAAGAAGCCATGATTGCTTCTGAGAACAAGCATCGCCGACAGTCCACATTTCAGGTAGGGGAATGTGTCTGGGTCAAGGCTAGTGAACTGGTACAGGAGTTTGGCATTTCTAGAAAACTAATGCCCCAGTATTTCAGTCCCTGGGAAGTCTTGGACATAGTGGGGAATGATTTGGATGGTCCCTCGTACGTCATTCGTATCCCTGGTCACCTACGCACTTACCCTGTTTTTCACGCATCCAAGCTAGCACCTTTCGCTGAGACAGCACAGTTCCCATCAAGGAGATCTATGCTGCCCCCAACCATGAATGGTCACGTGGACGTCGACGACATCCTGGATCACAGAGATACGCCTGTTCCCAAGCCACCTAGCAGGGGAAGACCTCTGAAACCTGCGAGGGAATACAGAGTTCATTTCAGGCATCACACTGATCCGAAGGAAGATCGATGGATTTCAAGGGAGGAACTGATTAAGCCAGCTCCTCATATCGTGGCAGATTATGAGAAGAAACTAAAGGGGAAGGCTCTAGTATGAAGCATCTCAGTGGACTTTTGAAGCTAAGGGGGATGGAATGTGAGGAACAAGCCCTCAAGTTGCCCTATCAAACATCACATTGTTCTGGGCCAAGGCCCCAACAAGCCAAGTGCCCGCCCTAAGTGAAGGCGGGCATGAATATTTGTCACAGGCCAAATTTGACATTTCCATATGTGGGTATTCAGGCTCTTGCAGCGCGTCAGTTGGTTGAGTGAACGCGCGGGCCTCACTAAGCTGCGCCGTACAGTTGGCCCAG